GTCGACTAACACCCAGGTACCTATTTGCTGCTAGGTGAACAGGACAGCAGGTGTAAGGAAAAGTGTCGAAATGTTTCCACCCGCCGGGAATCGAACCCGGGCCCTCCGTGTGTGAAGCGGGAGCTTTAGCCACCGCACCACCGGGCCTGGTGGTACACCTGGTGGGCCACCAGGTGTACCTATCTGAGCCTGCTGGGCCAGGACCCACCAGGGGAACCTATCTGAGCCTGCTGGGCCAGGACCCACCAGGTGTACCTATCTGAGCCTGCTGGGTCAGGACCCACCAGGTGTACCTATCTGAGCCTGCTGGGTCAGGACCCACCAGGGGAACCTATCTGAACCTGCTGGGTCAGGACCCACCAGGGGAACCTATCTGAACCTGCTGGGTCAGGACCCACCAGGGGAACCTATCTGAACCTGCTGGGTCAGGACCCACCAGGGGAACCTATCTGAACCTGCTGGGTCAGGACCCACCAGGGGAACCTATCTGAACCTGCTGGGTCAGGACCCACCAGGGGAACCTATCTGAACCTGCTGGGTCAGGACCCACCAGGGAACCTATCTGAGCCTGCTGGGTCAGGACCCACCAGGGGAACCTATCTGAACCTGCTGGGTCAGGACCCACCAGGGGAACCTATCTGAACCTGCTGGGTCAGGACCCACCAGGGGAGCCTATCTGAGCCTGCTGGGTCAAGACCCACCAGGGGAACCTATCTGAACCTGCTGGGTCAGGACCCACCAGGGGAACTTATCTGAACCTGCTGGGTCAGGACCCACCAGGGGAACCTATCTGAACCTGCTGGGTCAGGACCCACCAGGGGAACCTATCTGAACCTGCTGGGTTAGGACCCACCAGGGGAACCTATCTGAACCTGCTGGGTGAGGACCCACCAGAGGAACCTATCTGAACCTGCTGGGTCAGGACCCTCCAGGGGAACCTATCTGAACCTGCTGGGCGAGGACCCAACAGGGGAACCTATCTGAACCTGCTGGGTCAGGACCCACCAGGGGAACCTATCTGAAACTGCTGGGTCAGGACCCACCAAGTGAACTTATCTGAACCTGCTGGGTCAGGACCCACCAGGTGAACCTATCTGAACCTGAGGATCGTAATAAGGTAAGTAAGTAAGTAAGTAAGTTTATTCAGGTATACACAAATACAGTTACATAGAATTATCATACATAGCAGCATGTGTGTAGAGAACCTGGGATAACCCAAAAAAGTCAGACAGAGTGACTTATTTCCATTGGGGTCCTTTTACCTTATTATTATAATATAAAGGTTATAATATTTTCTTATTATTCTGCAATGAAGATAACATCTTATTATCATACTAAAAAGACTATCTACTACACGAGGGTCATTAAGACTATCTACAATACGAGGGTCATTACTAGGAATACGGTAAAATTTACACGTATGTTAGCTAAAAAGTAGAAAATCATTCCCCTCCCTTTCTGTAGCTACATTCATCAGACACCTTTTGGCACTCTTCTTGAACTGGTTCATGCTATGACTGGCTTTGACATGTGCGGGCAGTCTGTTCCATTCCTTTATTGCTGTACAATAAAAGGTGTTTGAAGCCTGGCCACTGACTGTGGGTACTACAAAGTTGTGCTCTCTCCCCCTAGTACTATGATTGCTTTGGTTCCCAACCTTGACAAAATTGACAGCAAGATATTCTGGACACTGTTTGTGAGCAATTTTATAAACATGATTTAGCTTCAGTTGTTTTACTCTGTCTTCAACATTCAGCATATCCAACTGCTGTAATTCATCCTGGCCTACATGTTCTCTTGGTCCCAGCCCCATGATGAATCTTACGATTTTGTTCTGGGTGATTTGCAGTCTATCTTTCAGTTTTTTTGTCAAGGCAGAGTACCAAGAAGAGCAAGCGTAATCCATATGGCATTGTATAAGGGCTAGACATAGGGTCCTGCGAGCCTCAGTAGGTAGACTCTGTGCTTCAGTCTGGCATTCGCTTTCTTTACTACACTGTTCCCTATCAATTCTCCTGACATGCATGGGTCAAAGGGGATTCCCAAATATTTTACTGATGAAACCAAAGTGATGGGCTCCCCATTACACTGAACATTAAAATTATTTACCCTTCTCAGGTACCAACCTTTGTCCCTCAGTCGCTAGGGTTTAAACCTCAGCGAGGGCTGAACTCAACATAAGACATTCCATCTATCTTTCTCACTCTCTGTAAAATGACAGGACACAAGTGCAATTAATCTTTCTCACTCTCTTCACATCTCTCAAATTAAACTTTCCATAAACTGTTATCCACTTCGAGAAGTTCATTAATTCGTAAAGCGAAAGTAAATTTCTATTGGTTGAAAGCTGTATAGCCCTTGTGGCTTAGCGCTTCTTTTTCATTATAATAATAATATTGGTTAAAAAAATGTCCGACTCGTACTATTCTTCGTCAGACTATTCTAGCGACTACTCGGGTGGAGAAGGAGGCCTCGCCACTCTCATCTGCGTCATCTGTTGCATCTCCTCCATCTGCCTCGGCATCATCATAGCCATCACTACTGCAGGTGGGTGAGAAGCCACTACCAAGAGAGAGAGAGAGTCCTGTGTACCTGGGTGAGGAGCCACAGCCAGGACGTGTCCCAGGGTGTGAGGAGCTACAGCCAGGACGTGTCCCAGGGTGTGAGGAGCTACAGCCAGGACGTGTCCCAGGGTGTGAGGAGCTACAGCCAGGACGTGTCCCATGGTGTTGAGGAGCTACAGCCAGGACGTGTCCCAGGGTGTGAGGAGCTACAGCCAGGGTGTGAGGAGCTACAGCCAGGGCGTGTCCCAGGGTGTGAGGAGCTACAGCCAGGGCGTGTCCCAGGGTGTGAGAAGCTACAGCCAGGACGTGTCCCATGGTGTTGAGGAGCTACAGCCAGGACGTCCAGGGCACCAGGGTGATGAACCACTACCAAGACAGTGAGTCCTGTGTACCTGGGTGAGGAGCCACAGCCAGGACGTGTCCTAGGGTGTGAGGAGCTACAGCCAGGACGTGTCCCAGGGTGTGAGGAGCTACAGCCAGGGCGTGTCCCAGGGTGTGAGGAGCTACAGCCAGGGCGTGTCCCAGGGTGTGAGAAGCTACAGCCAGGACGTGTCCCATGGTGTTGAGGAGCTACAGCCAGGACGTCCAGGGCACCAGGGTGATGAACCACTACCAAGACAGAGAGTCCTGTGTACCTGGGTGAGGAGCCACAGCCAGGACGTGTCCCAGGGTGTGAGGAGCTACAGCCAGGACGTGTCCCAGGGTGTGAGGAGCTACAGCCAGGACGTGTCCCAGGGTGTGAGAAGCTACAGCCAGGACGTGTCCCAGGGTGTGAGGAGCTACAGCCAGGGCGTGTCCCAGGGTGTGAGGAGCTACAGCCAGGGCGTGTCCCAGGGTGTGAGGAGCTACAGCCAGGGCGTGTCCCAGGGTGTGAGGAGCTACAGCCAGGGCGTGTCCCAGGGTGTGAGAAGCTACAGCCAGGACGTGTCCCATGGTGTTGAGGAGCTACAGCCAGGACGTCCAGGGCACCAGGGTGATGAACCACTACCAAGACAGAGAGTCCTGTGTACCTGGGTGAGGAGCCACAGCCAGGACGTGTCCCAGGGTGTGAGGAGCTACAGCCAGGACGTGTCCCAGGGTGTGAGGAGCTACAGCCAGGGCGTGTCCCAGGGTGTGAGGAGCTACAGCCAGGGCGTGTCCCAGGGTGTGAGGAGCTACAGCCAGGACGTGTCCCAGGGTGTGAGGAGCTACAGCCAGGACGTGTCCCAGGGTGTGAGGAGCTACAGCCAGGGCGTGTCCCAGGGTGTGAGAAGCTACAGCCAGGACGTGTCCCATGGTGTTGAGGAGCTACAGCCAGGACGTGTCCCATGGTGTTGAGGAGCTACAGCCAGGACGCCCAGGGCACCAGGGTGATGAACCACTACCAAGACGCCCAGGGCACCAGGATGATGAACCACTACCAAGACGCCCAGGGCACCAGGATGATGAACCACTACCAAGACGCCCAGGGCACCAGGATGATGAACCACTACCAAAGACGCCCATGGCACCAGGATGATGAACCACTACCAAGACGCCCAGGGCACCAGGATGATGAACCACTACCAAGACGCCCAGGATGATGAACCACTACCAAGACGCCCAGGGCACAGGGACGAGAAGCCAGGGCAGCAGTATGACCTAAAGTGGTCATTTTTTCCCTGTTAGGTAAAAGGACACAAGTGCAACTAATGTGACATTTTATTGTGGCAACGTTTCGCTCTCCAGGAGCTTTGTCAAACCGTAACGGCTTGACAAGATCTTTCACACGTCTCCGTGCGTCACCAGGAGCTATGCAATGTTGCAATAGTGTAGCAACAGGTGGAATGAGAGGAAGCTTTTCTCAAGAGTAAGATAGCATGGTGATGCCATCCAGTCTGAGAAAACTTCATCTCATCCTACCTGTTGCTACTCTTGCAACATTGCATAGCTCCTGATGACGTAGGAAGTCTTGTGAAAGATCTTGAGCTGAAGATTTCCATGCTTGTCTTGCACTGTGCAGAAAAATATTTGTAGACAAACAATAGACTATAGACATATAGACACAGACTCAGATATATCGCCTGTTTGGGATTGTACTGAGAGATATTGTACGGTGCCCCGTGTCCTGGTGCTTAAAGCTCTCGCTTCACACGGCGTGAGTCCGGGTTCGATTCCCGGCGAGGGTTGAAACATTGGGCTTGTTTCTTTACACCGGTTGTCTATGTTCACCCATCAGTAAAACTGATACCTGGGTGTTAGTGGACTGGTGTGGGTTGCATCCTGGGACAAAACTAACCTAATTTGGTTGAAGTGCTCTGCATAACAAGGGGCTTTCTATATAGCAGTATGTCATTGATGTCAGCTATGGTCTGTATATCTTGTGCATGTGCTTATAGAAATAAAATTATTATATTATTATGAGAAAAATTGACTTTAGGTTGGTATCTGCTCGTTGTTTAGGTTTGTTGTGTCTGTAAACAATGTGACGTCACGGGAGGTGATCACTGATTGGTGGATCTCGAGGCTCTCATGTCGGCCTAGTAGGAAGCTCGAGAGTGCCTCATTTATCCCCATTTCTGACAGGTATAGAGGTGGTATTTAGTTGAAATGATGGAGGGAGAGGAAGGTGAATATGTGATGATGATGGAGGTGGGGAGGAGGGATAATGGTGGGTGGAACACCACGTAATATTAGGAGAAGAAGAGTTGATTTCGGCAGGAAATCGAATTTACGAATTCCTGCCCTTGAAGAGGTATTGCCTTGACGCTGGTGAGGGGCTCTTGATCCAAGGAACTAGAACCAGCCACCGCCTTCCTTGGGTCGAGCCTGAGTGCCTCCTAGGTGCTGCATGATCCCTACGGATTTGGTGCTTCCCAGTTAAATTGAAAATGCCCTCGATGACAGTGAAAGGCTCTTGATCAAGGGTATCGGAGCTTCCCGTCCCTTGCATCAAACATGATGGTCTCACATTTCCCAGGTGCTGTATGACACCTACGGGTTTAGCGCTTCCCCATTAATAATAATAGTACTGACTTTCTTGGGTTATCTTATCTATCTTCGGTTATCTTATCTACGGTTATCTTATCTATCATATCTTAACCTGGGTGGCTAACCCTCTGGGTTAAAAATCCCCTCAAGTCTTATATTATCTCTATACCGTTATGACTAAAATCATTTAGCACATTTTTCTTTATTTCTTTTTTTTTTGTTTCATGTATATTTTAAAAATCATGTTAAGTATTCAATAATAGCGTATATTTTATGGAATTTGCAAACGATTTCATAAAAATACGTGAAATGTTTCAAAATATATAAAAATGTGTACTATAGACTTTTAATATATTGACAAATGGATTTATGTGCATTTAAGATTTGCGATGATGAATATATTTATATACTGTATGTTATACTGAGGTGCATAAGGGTGGCTCATGGCTCGGTGGTAGCTAGTTCTAAAACTATGAAAACCTGATGGTTTTATTTGGATTATTAAACCAGGGCCTCCACCTGCAACAGCTTGGTTGACCAGGCAAGCACCAGACGAGCCTGGCCCATGGCCGGGCTCAGAGAGTAGAGAAACTGTTGAAGCTCTTCAAAGGTATATCAAAGGAGGGTTAGTAACCCAGGTTATCCCCCTGAAAAACCCATTATACCATGACTTATTTTCATTGAGAGCCTTTGTTCTCTATCCCGGGATCTTTTCAATATACTTATAACACCTTTCATCGTTTCAGCTTGCTTAGTGTAGAGGATTCAGTATGTGCGTTGGACCCTTGAGGCGTGTTTGTCACTGGGGGCCTCTCATTGCTCTTGGTAAGTCACTCTCACAACTTCATATATATTTTTACCTTGAAAAATATTTTTTACCAAGTGTTGTCCTAAAATTTATATTTTACAATGATGCCTGTCTGCATTGTTTGAGGTGATTACGTTGTAGGTTGCAGTGTAAGTGGGATAAAAATTTGATGTTTTTTAAATAACAATACTGTGACTGGAACAATACACAAATAACCCACACATAGGAGAGAGGAGCTTACGTTGATGTTTGTAAATGGTCCAAGTCGGACCGAAACGTCATCATAAGCTCTTCTCCTCTGTGTGGGTTATTTGTGTAATTCATGAAAATAATTGCCTGTACTTCTAATATGTGCTCTTTATTTATGCTAGCTCACTTAATGTAAACTTAGTGTACATGGAGCCCCATTTCTATCACTACTTCCCTACGTGTTATAAATTTGCTGTTAGGTGATATGTATAACTTCCAAAACATACTGAAGATTCTTGTAGAGAGGAGTTAAATGTTGATAACTTGCTTGAGATTACTACAGCTGCCATGGGTTTGGAACTCATTCACTGCTCCAAGTGAGGAGACACCTGTAATGTTATGATATAGTTAATAATACCAACATAAAATTTTTCTTTTGGTAAAGATTGAAAGATCAGATTTAATTCATGAAATTAATCCTTGTACAGGGTGTGTGTGTGTGTACACACACACATACATACACAGTATTGAGTAAAAGTGCTGTTGCATTTCTTTTAACACTTAATTCTTTTTTTAGGTATAATAAAGTCGGTAACATTTGCAACGGTGAGTTGCCTGTCTCAGTGGTGGGCTCCGCATGACTCCTGGGGTGGGACAACCCTGTTCTTCACCTTCATGAGCTGTGCAATTCTCACATTGTATTGCTTCCTGCATGCCATGTATGTGGGACCTGGGAATTTACCACTCCACTGGAAGCCGGTTGGTGCACAGATGCTTCTATTTTAAAATCTCATATTCATTCTTTTGAAATTATTTATGCTCTTTCTTCTGCAAGTCCCAAACAACACATGTTTACTGCACATCCATCCCAACATACAGTTTTTCTATGCCTAGAGACCTCTTTGTTGATAACATTATTATTCCCCTTCATATGTACTGTTTATTTTGATCAGACACTATTATTATATTAACACATCGGCCATCTCCCACCAAGGCAGGGTGGCCCAAAAAAAAAAAAACTTTCATAATCATTCACTACATCACTGTCTTACCAGAGGTGGCACTTACACTGCAGTCATAAAACTGCAACATTAACACCCCTCCTTCAGAGTGCAGGCACTGTACTTCCATCTCCAGGATTCAAGTCCGGCCTGCCGGTTTCCCTGAATCCCTTCATAAATGTTACCTTGCTCACACTCCAACAGCACGTCAAGCCCTAAAAGCCATTTGTTTCCAATCACTCCTATCTAATATGCTCATGCATGTTTGCTGGAAGTCTAAGCCCCTTGCACACAGAACCTCCTTGACCCCCTCCCTCCAACCTTTCCTAGGCTGACCCCTACCCCTGCCTTCCCTCCACTGCAGATTTATACACTCTCGAAGTCATTCTATTTCATTCCTCCTTCTCTACATGTCCAAACCACCTCAACAACCCCTCCTCAGCCCTCTGGGTAATAGTTTTGGCAATTCCGCTCCTCCTCCTAATTTCCAAACTATGAATTCTCTGTATTATAGTCACACCACACATTGATCAGACACATGTATATTAATTATTTTGGTATTTTCTAAGCCATTCATCCATTACTGATTTATAAGAATTTTTAAAAATATACTCTGTTTTTTTGTTGAAGATCATGTAGAAGAAAGTAGTGTTCAAAGAAATTGTATTAATTTGGTTTCATTGTTTTGTTATACATAAATTTGCTTGTGCTGATGTGTGCTATCTTAAGGTGATGTATGTTGAATTATTTGTGTGAATGTTTTGTAATGGCTGAAATAATAGCATCAGAATTTGGTGATGGTTTTAAAACCCACATATTTAAGTTAATGTTTGTGGGATATAGTGAATTGTTTAGAGAAATACTTGATTAAGTAGACCAGTGGTTGAGTTAGGTTCAAAGCCTATTAATTGTATGAGGGTCAGTAAAGCTGCTTTTCACCTGTACACCAGAAATCAAGAATATGTACTTTTATCCCTAAAATAGAGAGTATGGTAAACTCTCATTGTAGAGTACTTATTTATAATGAGATATATACTTATCATTGTATAAACTCTCAATGTACCATATACTGAGAAGTATATGGTACAGAAGTATATACACATTGTTGTATATACACTGCTGCTCTCAGAGCTTGCTCATTGAGAGACAGACATCCCTCAGAACATACACAGTGTGTAAGCCAAGTGACATTGAAGTAAACATATGATGTTTGTATAGCATCTGATGTATTATGGAAGCATGTTCTGTAATTTGAATGTGTTGAGTGGTATTTACTTTGTATATAAAGTACAGTAATATCAGTTACAGCTTTATGCTTTTAATATACCATACTGTATTTTTCTTTCTTCTCTTTAATAATAGATCTTGTAGAATGCATAATTAAGTGATACTTATTTAATTCTTTTAATTTTTATTATCATATTTTGTGGATTGTTGCTTCTTAGAGAATTGTAAATACTAAATTAGTTTATAAGCATAAATAAGATTAAAATGCCTGGTTTTGCTATTCTGTATTATTGAATTGTTCTATTTTTGTACAATACTCTATACAATTTTATTTTAATTGCAAATTTATTTTGGATTTTAGTGAAAATTTGGTATGGGTCAAAAATTTCTTATTATATTTGCAGGAAAAGGAAAATGACCAACAGTTTCTTCAGTTCTGTGCAATATGCAATGGCTATAAGGCTCCACGCTCCCATCATTGCCGCAAGTGTGAGTTTCTTCCCAGCATTTAACATATTGATGTGATAACAAAAAAGGCACAATACCGTGACTGGAACGATACACAAATAACCCGCACATAAAAGAGAGAAGCTTACGACGACGTTTCGGTCCGACTTGGACCATTGACAAAGTCACAGTGTGACTTTGTCAATGGTCCAAGTTGGACCGAAACGTCGTCGTAAGCTTCTCTCTTTTATGTGCGGGTTATTTGTGTATATTGATGTGATGTTTATTGAATTGATGTGTGTGAAGCAACTTGTAATACAGTGGACCCCCGGTTAACGATATTTTTTCACTCCAGAAGTATGTTCAGGTGCCAGTACTGACCGAATTTGTTCCCATAAGAAATATTGTGAAGTAGATTAGTCCATTTCAGACCCCCAAACATACAAGTACAAACGCACTTACATAAATACACTTACATAATTGGTCGCATTTGGAGGTAATCGTTATGCGGGGGTCCACTGTATTTGCTATTGGTTGCCTGGTTTGTGATTTACACCAGACATAAGTTTTCAGCAAATGTTTCCAAGATTAATTCAGAATTATCCATGAGGAAGTGGAACAGAATTCTTCCTCCGTAAGCCATGCGTGTCGTAAGAGGTGACTAAAATGCTGGGAGCAAAGGGCTAGTAACCCCTTTTTTTTTTTTTTTTTTTTTTTTCAACAAGTTGGTCGTCTCCCACCGAGGCAGGGTGACCCAAAAAAGAAAGAAAATCCCCAAAAAGAAAATACTTTCATCATCATTCAACACTTTCACCTCACTCACACATTATCACTGCTTTTGCAGAGGTGCTCAGAATAGAACAGTTTAGAAGCATATACGTATAAAGATACACAACATATCCCTCCAAACTGCCAAATTTATAAATGCCAAATGTATAAATTACTAAATTTAAAAAGAGAAACTTTCGTTTTTCTTTTTGGGCCACCCTGCCTCGGTGGGATACGGCTGGTTTGTTGAAAAAAAAAATTAGGCTTTTTTTTTTTTAAATAATGTCATTTTTTTAACACCATTACTGGGTTATCCTATAATGTCACTTTTTTTTTTTTTAATTTTCAGCACCACTACTGGGTTATCCTAAAATTTTTGTTAGATCTGAGCAAAAGTTATGGAATTAAAAATTTTTCTTCAGCTGTATATCAGACTAAACACTTGATATGGGAACATGAGCTTAGCTCTGCTCCTGTAATAACTACTACTATACAAATAGGTATTTTTTTTCACTTATAAAAATACATATCTATATCCATCCAAAATTAACTTCCACTAACTTGATCAGTTGCACTGGTTTGAGCATTGGTTTTATTTTGTATTTTCATTGATTGTTTAGCATTTTTTTTTTTTTTTTTTTTTGTAATTTATCATATATTTGTCTGCTGCTTATACTATAGAGTTTGAGAGTAAATCAGACACCTGTGAAACACTGTATTTACATTTAGAATCTGTTACTTTGAAGCTGTAGTGTGAAGCAGTTTATAACCACTATGTAAATACATCAGGAACTAGACCATTTTTTCACCCTCTTGTCATCAATTTTTATGTTGTTGGTATCATTTTGTATGATAAATTTGCACACAGAAACAATGCTAAACAAACTGGATATGGGTTTTTTTTATTTACATAGCTTTGTTTTTTTTCAGGTGGGTGTTGTGTGATGAAAATGGACCACCACTGCCCGTGGATTAACAACTGTGTCGGTCACAAGAACCATGGGTCATTCACCCTCTTTCTCTTGTTTGCCGTGTTGGGATGTGCTCAGGCCTCTGTGGTGCTTGCTCTCTCCATTTATCATGCCATACACAGGGTCAGTGTACAGTGTCATACACAAGTTCATTGTATCATGCAATACATAGAGTTGTGCATTGCAAGTATAGTCAGTTTGAAAAACTATTTTTTAAAAATGATTCAGGAAAAACCCACTTAGCCAGATTTGATTTCTGGAAATGGGAAGGGCAATACCTGTGCTCTGAAGGAGGGATGGTGGGGATGTTGCATATGGAGGCTAATTTAATTATGTCGGTTTACTTTTGGAAAGATAACGATTGAATGAATGTATGATGAATATGCTTTCTTTGGATCACCTTGCCTTGGTGGAAGATAGCCATTAAGTATTAAGTTTAAAAATTATTGTTTTTTATTCTATAATTGTTATTGTACACATACAGTAAACCCTCCTTATAATGCCAGTGAAAAGTGAAACCAAAAATTTAGATAGTGCCAGAAAATCTTGATATTCCGTGCCATAAAAGGTGAAGGAATCCATTAAAATTGAAAAATTTTGGTACTATCTGCCAGTAGGTTTCCATAGCATCATATTACATGCAAATGTTGGTACTACATTCTAGAATTTTCTCTTCCAAACCAAGATGGACAGTTGTGAGCAAGGTTGGAGAATGTTTAGGGAGGCACAATTTGCTTCTACACTGCCATTAATGTTACTTACAGTTTTGGATATCTCAATCACCCTATCTCATCTCTGGATATTAACCGTTGCACCCAAGAGTAATAGTGATGCTGGAGGTGGCTCTGGCAAGGACTGTGAGAGTTTATGGCTTGGAAGATATGCACGAGCAAGATGTAAATGAAGTGTTAAGAGATGAAGAGGCAGCTGCATAGTAATTGCTGGAGGTGTTCAGTTCCCAGTAGGTGGCTAGTTGTTGTACTCCTCAGATTCTTGCCTTCTTACTTCTACTGTGGTCCCTGCATCCTGCTACGTCATTGAGACATTCATGCCTCACCTCTAAAATATTTCTCCAAGGTTGACAGACTGATTACAATGTTATTACTTTGCTTCTGTGCCTGCAGACCCATCAAGGTGGTGGTGGTGGGGAGGGGGTTACCTTGAAGCCAGTGAAGGACTTTTGATCCAGGTAATTGGATCAGTCCCTCACTTCTTGGATCAAACCTAATTACAGTAGCTACCACTTATCCCCTTGAGATAGATTCCTTGATGCTGGTGAGGGGATCGTAATCTAAGGAATTGGACCTTTGCTCCAATTTCTTGAATTGATCCTGAGTACCTTCCATTTCCCGTACATGTTCAGCATTCTCCCCATGAATATAATAATAATAATTCCCACCCCAATGGAAATAAGTCACTCTGTCTGACTTTTTTGGGTTATCCCAGGTTCTCTACACATATGCTGCTATGTATGATAATTCTATGTAACTGTATTTGTGTATACCTGAATAAACTTACTGCATGACCCCTGTGGGTTTGCCATTTGCATTGAGTATAATCTTTTATATTGCAGACATGGTATATCTACTATGGCACTGGCATGGAACCCATCATCTACATGAGCTTATGGGGAATGGTGATGTGCATGTTTGTCTTGGGGCTGGCTATTGGTGTAGTGCTAGCTGTGGGCATGCTTCTGTACTTCCAGGTCAGTCAACATATCATGGCTGCCAAACGGCATTTGTATGGTTGCTTCCTGGTTTACATAGAAGTAAAGAGGGTAGACAGTTTTATTGGGGATATGGTTGTGTATCTATATTATGTGAAATCACTGATGTCAGATTCAGAATATAAAGTCATAATATCGTGGTTGGAACACTTCACCAAAAAAACAGCACTTAGAAGAGAAACCTTGTGATGATGTTTTGATCCATCCAGGACTATCAAGTCATAGCTTAACAATGGTCCAGGAAGGACTGAAGCATTGCAGATTCCTCTCCTGAGTGCAGGTTTTTGATCATGCTGGTTGAAGTTCTCCCTGAAAGACTTAAAAGATTCATGTATTTATTCATAATAATATTCCTGGGAAATAAAAGTGAGTGAGCATAGACATTCACTTGCTTTTTTGTTTCTATTCCAGCAATATTAAAGTAATGGAAATAAAGTCTTAGAACACATTGTTGGAAACTTGCATGTTTCAAGGGTGTACCATACCAATAGCTATTGTACAGGTTTATGCTGTGGTATACTGATGTCGAAAGGAATTAATTACATGGCGGAAAATATCAAGAGATTCACTCCATCATTCACAGAATGAACGATGATGAAAGTGTTTCTTTTTCGGGTCACCCTGCCTTGGTGGGAAACGGCCGATATGTTATTAAAAAAAAAAAATAATTATCAAAAGATGCAGCTAAGGAGTTGATGGGACTTATTAAGTAGCACTCTTTGGCAGTTGTAATTAAATTGTCTTGATCAATATCACAGATACGAGCGATTCTTCGAAACAGAACAGGCATTGAGGATTGGATTTTGGAAAAGGCCATTCATCGCCGTGATTCAGCCGAGAAGCCATTTATATATCCTTACAACTTGGGCCGCTGGAATAATTTTGTGCAGGTATATTCTTAAAATTGTTTTATTTGTTTAATAAATAATCAGTTATGTACATTTTCCTTGATCCAAACAATGTGAAATATGGTAATTTCTGCAATATAACATCATAATAATAATAGGGGGGATTCTCAGAGTGTGCTAAATCAGAATTATGGTAAGAAATTGGATTAAAAGCACTGAAGTTATCTATACCTAATATAGGGCTGTATATATAATTACCAATTTACTATAATGAACATTGAAAATAAATGAATTTAAAGTAAAGGTCACTCAGTGGATTTTGTTTATTTCAGAATTCTGTTGCATTGAGGTTCATTATATCAGAGGTTCACTGTAGTTTAAATACTTGAGTGAATGTTTTACTACTATTGTGGTAATAGTCACTTCTAGTGTTTACCATGTTTGGTTTCAAGTATGAAAGATCTGCTGTCTGTTTTAAATATTTTTAATTCTTTTAATGTTTAAACATAATAATTCTTTCATCCTTACCCAAGAGGTGCTGCACTGATGTGTGTGATATAGGACAGAGATGATGACTGGGTATGTCAGGACTGGTGGTGTATGGTGGGTTATTGTCACAGGGTGTGCTCTGCTCATGATACAACTAGCTATGGGGTGTGCAGTTCTATCTTAGAACAACTGCCACAATATTTCATAACAGCAAACAGAAAAATTAGTTTCCCATTATGATTCATGATTATACACATACATGATTGCAAACAAACCTAGGACCGGGTGGGGTTTGCCCTGCCTGGTCTGTGGTTTGGGTATGTCAACCAGCTCGTGAATATCTTCTTGTATTTGTGTATGTGTATTTGCATATTGTAAATTATGTACTTACTAATACAGGGATGAGCTCTAGATCATGTTCCCACTTCTTAATTTTTGACTTATGAATTAGTTTTAAAGCCTTGTACTGTATGGAATCTCCTTCCACTGTGTTATTGCTTAGCTCGTTCCACACTTTGTATTTTACTTTCATACAGGAAATGTCCCATTTACTGTAATAGTTTTTTATTCTCCCCTGTGTTCTGCAGTTTCTGATTACTTTTTTGATGCTGGCCATCTTCCACTGAGGTAGGATCCATCCTCTTTTCTCCTGAATAATCTGCACATTGAGAACAGACTTGTGTGAGTGTTGGGAGAAAGTGTCAGCATCTGTTGGTTCCCCATTTTTTTTTTTTTTTTTTTTTTTTTTGTGTGTGTGTGTGTGTGTGTGGTGTGTGTGTGTGTGTGTGTGTGTGTGTGTGTGTGTGTGTGTGTGTGTGTGGTGTGTGTGTGTGTGTGTGTGTTTGTATATGTGTATGTGTGTGTGTGTTTGTGTGTGTTAGTTACCATTTTGTCCTAGGCACATGTTGATTAGACACTAGGCCTGTTGTATATGAGTACGTGTGTGTGTGTGTGTACTCACCTATATGTGGTTGCAGGGGTCGATTCATAGCTCCTGGCCCCGCCTCTTCACTGATTGCTAATAGGTCCTCTCTCTTCCTGCCCCATGAGCTTTATCATACCTCGCCTTAAAACTATGTATGGTTCCCGCCTCCACTACTTCACTTTCTACACCATTCCACGGCCTGACCACTCTATGACTGAAGAAATACTTTCTAACATCCCTTTGATTCATCTGAGTCTTCAACTTCCAATTGTGACCTCTTGTGTCTGTGTCCCATCTCTGGAACATCCCGTCTTTGTCCACCTTGTCTATTCTGCGCAGTATTTTATATGTCGTTATCATGTCTCCCCTGACCCTCCTGTCCTCCAGTGTCGTCGGGCCGATTTCCCTCAACCTTTCTTCGTAGGACAATCGTGTGTGTGTGTGTGTGTGTGTGTGTGTGTGTGTGTGTGTGTACTCAATTGTACTCACCTAATTGTGGTTGCAGGGGTCGAGACTCAGCTCCTGGCCCTGCCTCTTCACTGATTGCTACTAGGTCCTCTCTCTCTCTGCTTCCTGAGCTTTATCATACTCTCTGACTGCGGGTTCAATCCCGGCCGGGGTATGGTCTCTTCTTAAAACTATGTATGGTTCCTGCCTCCACTACTTCACTTGCTAGGCTATTCCACTTCCTGATGACTCTATGACTGAAGAAATACTTCCTAATGTCCCTGTGACTCGTCTGAGTCTTCAGCTTCCAGTTGTGACCCCTTGTTCCTGTGTCCCTTCTCTGGAATATCCTATCTCTGTCCACCTTGTCTATTCCCCGCAGTATCTTGTATGTCATTATCATGTCTCCCCTGACCCTTCTGTCCTCCAGTGTCGTCAGTCCGATTTCCCTCAACCTTTCCTCGTACGACATTCCCCTGAGCTCTGGGACTAGCCTTGTTGCAAACGTTTGTACTTTCTCTAACTTCTTGACATGCTTGACCAGGTGTGGGTTCCAGACTGGTGCTGCATACTCCAGTATGGGCCTAACATACACAGTGTACAGCGTCTTGAACGATTCCTTATTAAGGTATCGGAACGCTATTCTCAGGTTTGCCAGGCGCCCGTATGCTGCAGCAGTTATTTGGTTGTGTGTGTGTGTGTGTGTGTGTGTGTGTGTGTTGTGTGTGTGTGTGTGTGTGTGTGTGTGTGTGTGTGTGTTGGTGTGTGTGTGTGTGTGTGTGTGTGTGTGTAAGCTGAGGACTAATAGCATGGAGTGACTTAGCCTGTACAATATTTAGACCTTCTCATAATTTCAGATACTGATACAAGCATATAATGAAATTCATGGTTTTTAATTGAGGATTTATGTAATGGAAAAATGCCTATAAAATTTGTTATTACCTATATTTTAATTCCTTTTAGGTTATCAATGTGTGGTGTGAACCCAATGGAGATGGCATTGTGTGGCCAGTGCATGAAGATTGCAACCAGTATACTCTCACAGTATGTATAGTAATTGTCTTCCTCATTATGTTACATTACAGTTGTCCCTTCATATTAGTGGGCTTCCGTATTCGTGGATTCTGATTATCCAACATGTATATGGCTTGGCAGCTTTCCCATCCCCAAATCTCTCATTTTTTTTAAACACATTGGCTGTTTCCCACTGAGGTAGGGTGACCCAAAAAAGTAGAAACACTTTCATTGTCACTCACTCCATCACTGTCTTGCCAGAGGTGATGATGCTCCAGTTAAAAATTTGCAACATATCTCCACCCCTACTTCAGAGTGCAGGCACTATACTTCCCATCTCCAGGATTCAAGTCCTTATTGTGGTCATTATTTCTTATAAATATAGGTATTAATAAGATTTTAATAATAATCTTTATTTCTATAAGTATAAGTATAAGGTATACAGGCCTAACTGGCATCAATGACATACTACTATACAGAAAGCCCCTTATTATCAGAGCATTTCAGGCAAACTAGGTCAGTTTGTCCCAGGATGCTATCCACACCAGTCTACTAACACCCAGGTACCTATTTTATTGCTAGGTGAACATGGACAGCAGGTGTCTTAAGGAAACACATCCTAATATTTCCACCCATACCTGGGATCGAATCACGGACCTCACTGTGTGAGCTAAGTGCACTGTCAATCGAGCTATTACATATTAATTTTTTTTTTTTTTTTTTTTTTTTTCAACAAGTCGGCCGTCTCCCACCGAGGCAGGGTGACCCAAAAAAGAAAGAAAATCCCCAAAAAGAAAATACTTTCATCATCATTCAACACTTTCACCACACTCGCACATTATCACTGTTTTTGCAGAGGTGCTCAGAATACAACAGTCTATAAGCATAAACATATAAAGATACACAACATATCCCTCCAAACTGCCAATATCCCAAACCCCTCCTTTAAAGGCAGGCATTGTACTTCCCATTTCCAGGACTCAAGTCCGACTTTATATGAAAAAAACCCGGGTTTCCCTAATCCTTCACAAAATATTACCCTGCTCACACTCCAACAGATCGTCAGGTCCCAAGTACCATTCGTCTCCATTCACTCCGAGTGGGGATCTGTAACAAGTGGCATTCCACAGGGATCAGCCCTTGGGGCCCGTTGTTGTTTATAATATATATCAATGATCTTGATGAGGAATTACTAGTGATTTGAGCAAATTCCCCGATGACACAAAGAAGGTAGGATAATTGATTCAAACGTAGATGTTATGGAACTTCAGGAGGATTTAAACAAACTCTATTCTGGTCAGAAAAGTGGCAGATGCAGTTCAATGTAGATAAATGCAAGGGTTCTGAAGCTTGGGATTGCCCATAACCCTAGTACTTATAAGTTAAATGATGTAGAACTTAGCCATACAGATTGCAAAAAAGGACTTGGGGGTTATGGTGAGCAGCAACCTTAAACCAAGCAGCAATGCCTAAGCGTACGTAAAAAGGGCAAATAGATTACTGGGATTTATATCAAGAAGTGTAAGCAACAGAAAGCCAGAGGTCATACTGCAACTTTATACATCATTAGTAAGGCCTCACCTAGATTATGCAGCTCAGTTCTGGTCTCCATATTACAGAATGGACATAAAAATTTGTTAGAAAACATTCAGCGTAGGATGACTAAATTAATACATAGCATTAGAAATCTTCCTTATGAAGAAAGATTGAAGACTCTTAAGTTACATTCACTTGTTAGACGAAGAATAGGGGAGACCTGATCGATGTGTATAAGTGGAAATAGGTATTAATAAAGGGATATTAATAAGGTCTTGAGGATGTCTCTCCAAGAGAAAACCCGCAGTAATTTGGGTTTAAATTAGATAAGTTTAGATTTAGAAAGGACATAGGAAAGTATTGGGTTTTGGGAAATAGGGTAGTTGATGAGTGGAACAGTCTACCTAGTTGGGTTATTGAGGCTGGGACTTTGGGTAGTTTCAAATTTAGGTTGGATAAGTACATGAGTTATAGGTAGTAGGTTGGTAGACAGCAACCGCCCAGGGAGGTACTACCCCTCCTGCCAAGTGAGTGTAAAACGAAAAACCTGTAATTGTTTACATGATGGTTTGGATTGCTGGTGTCCTTTTTTCTGTCTCATGAACATGCAAGATTTCAGGTACGTCTTGCTACTTCTACTTACACTTAGGTCACACTACACATACATGTACAAGCACATATATACACACCCCTCTGGGTTTTCTTCTATTTTCTTTCTAGTTCTTATTCTTGTTTATTTCCTCTTATCTCCATGGGGAAGTGGAACAGAATTCTTCCTCCGTAAGCCATGCGTGTTGTAAGAGGCGACTAAAATGCCGGGAGCAAGGGGCTAGTAACCTCTTCTCCTGTATATATTACTAAATGTAAAAGGAGAAACTTTCGTTTTTCCTTTTGGGCCACCCCACCTTGGTGGGATACGGCCGGTGTGTTGAAAGAAGAAAGAAAGAAGTACATGAGTGGGAGGGGTTGGATTTGAGTGGGACTTTCACATCAGAGCTTATTTCTTGGGTGGCATTGAAAATTGGGTTAGGCAAATGTTTTGTTAGTGGGATGAATTGTAAAGGACCTGCCTAGTATGGGCCAACAGGCCTGCTGCAGTGTTCCTCCTTTCTTATGTTCTTATGTACAGAAATATGACATCTGAAACAAAAAATTAGTCCAAATCTGGGACAGAATTTGTTATTTGGGCTTTATTTTGTTTTATTGGCATTTTCTACTTTTGTGGTGCTTCTGCAAATGTAACCCCAAATGAATTTGTAGTGATCACTGTAAAAGACACTCAGCATATGGTGAAGTAATTTTTTTTTAACACTTTTGCCGTTTCCCACCAAGGCAGGATGGCCTGAAAAAGAAAAACTTTCAGCATCATTCACTCCATCACTGTCTTGCCAGAGGCATGCCTACAATACAGTTATAAAACTGCAACATTTACACCCCTCCTTTGGAGTGCTGGCACTGTTCTTCCCATCTCCAGGAATCAATGTTACCTTGCTTACACTCCAACAGCACGTCAAGTCCTAAAAACCATTTGTCTCCATTCACTCCTGTCTAACACGCTCATGCATGCTTGCTGAAAGTCCAAGCCCCTCATGCACAAAACCTCCTTTACCCCCCTCCCCCTCCAACCATTCCTAGGCTGACCCCTACCCCGCCTTCCCTCCACTACAGATTTGTATACTCTCGAAGTCATTCTATTTCCTTCCTTCCTCTCTACATATCCAAACCATCTCAATAACCCCTACTCAGCCCTCTGGATAATAGTTTTGGTAATCCCACACCTCCTAATCTCCAAACTACGGATATATTTTTTTTTTTTTTTATTATCACACTGGCCGATTCCCACCAAGGCAGGGTGGCCCGAAAAAGAAAAACTTTCACCATCATTCACTCCATCACTGTCTTGCCAGAAGGGTGCTTTACACTACAGTTTTTAAACTGCAACATTAACACCCCTCCTTCAGAGTGCAGGCACTGTACTTCCCATCTCCAGGACTCAAGTCTGGCCTGCCGGTTTCCCTGAACCCCTTCATAAATGTTACTTTGCTCACACTCCAACAGCACGTCAAGGATTCTCTGCATTATATTCACACCACACATTGCCTTCAGACATGACATCTCCACTGCTTCCACCCTTCTCCTTGTTGCAACATTCACAACCGATGCCTCACACCCATACAAGAGCTTTGGTATAACTGTACTATCATACATTACCCTCTTTGCTTTCATGGATAAAGTTCTTTGTCCCCACAGACTCCTCAGTGCACCACTCACCTTTTTCCTCTCGTCATAGGTGAAGTAATACTGTAGTTTATTCTGCACTGTCTTATGTTTACTGATGTGGAACACTGTATGCATAAGGCAAATTTTTGGCACTTGGTATTTTGGCAGTTGTTTACAATGTTGTATTGTAAAGGCCTGTCTTTGAGTAATATGTAGCTGCTTTTCCAACCAGTCTACTAATATTCCCTTGTACTACTTTTTTATCACATACATTAATTCTTCTTCTTCTTTCAACAAACCGGCCATATCCCACTGAGGTGGGGTGGCCCAAAAGAAAAAACAAAAGTTTCTCCTTTTAAATTTAGTAATATATACAGGAGAAGGGGTTACTAGCCCCTTGCTTCCGGCATTTTAGTCGCCTCTTACGACATGCATGGCTTACGGAGGAAGAATTCTGTTCCACTTCCCCATGGAGATAAGAGGAAATAGACAAGAACAATGAACTAGAAAAATAGAGAAACCAAGGGTTGTATTATATGCCTGTACATGTATGTGTAGTGTGGACCTAGTGTAAGTAGAAGTAGCAAGAATTCTGAAACTTGATGTTTATGAACGAAAAGGACACCAGTAATCCTACCATCATGTAACATTACAGGCTTTGTTTGTACACTCGCTTGGCAGACGGTAGTACTACCTGGCGGTTGCCTGTCTACAACCTATTTACTAGACATACATTCTTTCTTCTTTTCTTTCAACACACCGGCCGTATCCCACCGAGGCGGGGTGGCCCAAAAGGAAAAACGAAAGTTTCTCCTTTTACATTTAGTAATATATACAGGAGAAGAGGGTTACTAGCCCCTTGCTCCCTGGCATTTTAGTTGCCTCTACAACACGCATGGCTTACGGAGGAAGAATTCTGTTCCACTTCCCCATGGAGGTAAGAGAAAATAAACAACAAGAACAAGAACTAGTAAGAAAATATTAGAAAACCCAGAGGGGTGTGTATATATATGCTTGTACATGTATGTGTAGTGTGACCTAAGTGTAAGTAGAAGTAGCAAGACATACCTGAAATCTTGCATGTTTATGAGACAGAAAAATGGACACCAGCAATCTTACCATCATGTAAAACAATTACAGGCTTCCGTTTTACACTCACTTGTCAGGACGGTAGTACCTCCCTGGGCGGTTGCTGTCTACCAACCTACTACCTAGGACATACATTCATATAAACATATTAATTGTACTTATAAGAATTCAGAGATATGTATTTTGGGGATGTGGAAAAGAATCCTTCTTCCGTGAGCCATGTGGCTGAAAATACTGGGAGCAGTGGGCTAGCAACTCCTCCTATATAAATTACTAAATGTAAAAAGAAGAAAAACTTTATTATTTTCTTTTTTGGGTCACCCTGCCTCTGTGGGAGACGGCCAGTGTGTTAAAAAAAAAAAAACCTATAAATCTACCTTAGTCCCATTTACTTCTACCTATTAAAATTCTTTCTCCCCTTCTACTTTATTTTGCTCTGTGTTAGGGCATCTAACTTCTTTTCATTCACAGCATTAATTATCAGTTCATCATCATATATACTCAATACATGCACTTTCAAAACCCTAACATGAAAATGTTCTTTTATTTTCTTTGTAGTAATTACATGCTTAAATGGGTTACAGCCCCTTGTTCCTTGCATTTTAGTTATCACCTGTAAGATACATGGCTTACTGGAAAAACTTGTAACCTGTTTTGCCATACTGGAATAAAAATTTACTGGAACATGAACTGTTAAGATAAATGTGCAGAAAATCTTTAATTTCACTCTTGTAGAACAGGATGATAGAATTTTGATGTAGAGTACTGAAATAAATGTTATCTTTCAGATCGAACAGTTAGCACAGAAGGCAGAGAAACGTGCACGAAGCCGGGAGTATCAGATAGTCGAGGCTTTCTCCGGCTGGTGGTTTCCGTGCACGAAAGGTCTTGGAGTGTGTTGTCACCCACCCTGCACTGATGAACCTCGGATACCTCTTCAGCCTGGCGATGAAGTCTTAGTAACACGATGGAAAAAGTTAGTGCCGCTCTATATACTCTTCTTTCTTTCAACGCACCAGCCGTATCCCACTGAGGTGGGGTGGCCCAAAAAGAAAAACAGAAGTTTCTCATTTTAAATTTAGTAATACATACAGGAGAAGGGGTTACTAGCCCCTTGCTCCCGGCATTTTAGTCGCCTCTTACAACACGCATAGCTTATGGAGGAAGAATTCTGTCCCACTTCCCCATGGAGATAAGAGGAAATAAACAAGAACAACAACTAGAAAGAAAACAGAAGAAAACCCAGAGGAGTGTGTGTATATATGCTTGTACATGTATGTGTAGTGTGACCTAAGTGTAAGTAGAAGTAGCAAGATGTACCTGAAATCTTGCATGTCTATATACTCTATATTGTTTATTATTATTAATAATTATTGTTAATTATTGTAATTAATTATTTGTATTATTTGGTTATTATTATTACCATTATTTTCATTTATAATAACTGCTCTTGTAAAGCTTGTCTATATATTGTGATTTATTTGGTTAATGCACTTGAAAAAGTGGATTCAGAATTGAATATGTGAAAATGCCTTCATAGTATGATGTATTTAATTATGGATTCATTTTTTAAATTCCATTTGAAAAAAAATGTACCATATAGAATATGTAGCTTTCTAAGAGTTTTTTTTTTTACCAATGTAGGGCTACCCAAAAAAGAAAAAACTTTGGTGAAAAAATAGCTGATAAAATACCTCAAGCTAATTGTTTTTATGATTAATTTGTTTAATTGGGTTCTTAACTAAGGGTTGAGGGGTAGGATTGGCTTTTATACTGAGGCTGTAATCCTATTTAAGTTAAGGAATTAGTATAAGCATGTACAAGAGGGCCCTACTTATGCAGCACATTAGGTTCTGAGCCACTGCTGTAAAGCGAAAATCTCTGCTGAGTTAACATAGCCTTTTTATACTTTCAAATGCTTATGAAAGCCTGATATGTTTGCACTATGATATATTAAGTGAACAATAGAACTAGGCCTAAAAATTGCAAATACAGTATGTACATTACTTGTCTTAAAATATTTTCGTCCTTTGCTTATAGTGAGTGGTTCTTACATTTATTGTTGGAAGTCTGAACAAATGAAGACTGGGTATAACTGAAAACTGTTGTATTAGCGAAACATCATAAAGTGAAGCGCTGTAAATTGGTACCTACCTGTACTTACTGAGGAAATTATAGTTGCCATGTATTTTACATAGTTTTCTGTTTATGGGAAGGGTACAGTACCTTAGTTTCTATTGACTGCTTCTATAAGAATTGTGATCCATTTGTGTTTTTACTTTGTTCTTGTGTAGAAGATGTTTTCTTCCATCAGCAGAGCAGGTTAGTGCCTTGTGTATTACAGTACTGTACCTCACACATTTTAGTGTTAATCATACCTCTTCACTGCTTTATTTTTAAACTTGTCATTAAGATATGAATTGTATAGTAGTTTAGGTAGCATTGAACCCATGTGGGTCATTTGGTGCAAGGAGTGGTGGAGACTTGATCCTCCATCTGCTAATTGCAGCTTGGTCTCTGACCAGTTAGCATTTGATGATGAGTCATTCCTATTTTGCAGTTGTCACTCCTGTCAAAAAAATATTTCAATGTACATTTTAAATGTAAACATAACTTTCAAATTCGTAATAAACTATGTTTTTCCAGGTACTGGCTCTATGGTGAACGCATCAATTTAAAGAGATATTGGCAGCACCTCAGGGTACCAGTTCATCCCGTCACAGAGGATGGTTCCCCCGTCGCTGTGCCGTGCAAGTCTCCAGTTTGGATAATGATACTGATAGTCCTTCACTGCCTCATGTTCCAAATAATCAAAAGCAAAGTCAGAAAATAGCGGACAACAAGAAGATCCGGTGATATTCTATTTTGTGTCCTGGATGGACTCAGTCATCCAAGGTTTCCTTCAAATTAGGGCTATGAATTGTTCTAACCATTGTAATGTGATTAATTCTTCTTGGATAGTTACATTTATATACAAGAAATGGTCCATCTGTTCACTGAATAGGCGTAAGCGGAAACTTGGTGTATATAGGTTTAATACAGAAATATATTGGTCTTATAGATACAAATGCTGTCATATAAAATTGTGGAATCTTATTTATAGTTTTTTAAACAATAGAATAGAAAATCAGCATAGGAAAGTTGTATTTTTTAAATTCATGAAATTCATTCCATTTGCAGGACACTGAATTACATTAGTTGTATTACAGTGACTTGCTTTTTAATTAATTGTTAGCCAGTCAAGAACTTTAAAAAGATGTTGCTTGTGGACACCAAAGATTTAGAATCTGTAAATAAGTGTACTCTTTTATTTATTCCCCCCCCCCCTCAGTAATTTTGTTCTTAAAATTGGCATATCCACATTTTAAGTCAGTATGTCACACTGACCAAGGGTGATCACTTTTTTTTCTGAATTTTGAATCAAGATTTATATTTTAAATTTTGCCAGTGAAGTTACTATTGTGCACTTCTTATCCATCCTGTGAACGTATTCTATTGACATTTTCAAGGATTCTTCTACCCAAGCAGCCCAGCCTGATGCCAGATTTCCTTATTGATTGCCTAGGCTCTGAAATGCAGCAGAAGCTGCATTTCAGAGCCCAGACCTCTTTAAATATCATTAAATTGGTTATAAATCATATTCATAAGAATGTTTAGAAAGAAGAAATTTGTGTGTGTGGGAAGATCCATTGAACACATTTTGAAAGAAACATTTTGGCAAATTTTGGTTAGGGTTGTGCACTGTTTTCTCCAAGAGATGGGCACTAATAATTATTTTAGAATAATCAAAGCACACTAAGAAGCTTACAAACTTGGGGTGTGGAGGTCCACTGTTAATTAGGAATGTTAGCAAATTTGGTCTTAGTATTAAAATGTTAATTAGGCTGAAAATTGTGGTGATTGCAGCAAATTAATTAATAATGTTAGTAACCTTTTATGTTAAAGGCATAAATAACTAAATGGTTTTTCAGTGTTTTGTTAATGGTACAACTTTACTCCATCTTCATGGCAGTCTGTGAGCTTAATTTTATTCTTGCCTGAAGCATACCTGTTATTAGAAGTTAATTAGCACTTTCTTGAGGCGGTCTCAGTGTGGCTTCAACACCAGGATTTTTAACTAGAAACAACAAAAAGGCACAATACCATGACTGGAACAGTACATGTATAACTCTCACGTAGGAGAGAGGAGCTTACAACGACATTTTGGTCCAACTTGGACCATTTCCACTTGGACCGTTTCCACTGTCACAGCCACCATTGTTAAGTTATTATGTCTTTTTGTCATTTCACAACTACTGCTTGCTATTCCATGGGCCTCGGGAGACATTTTCACACAGTGCGCCATGACAATCCTCCAACTATATTCTTTTAAAACAAGCCTCGTGTGGCTGCTTCTGATACAGTTGTATTGTTTATTACTTGTGTGATTTCAAGTAATTGCTCATGCATATTGTGTTTATGACTGGCAATACCTGGCGCTGAGTGCAGCATGATAAAAGCTACAGGAATTATTATGCAAGTACATGCCTCAACATACTCCAGTGATTCACAGTGCTTGTGTGAAATTAACCTACTCTATTGGTATAGCTCATTCTGACCTCTAAACTTACAGGGAAGTCCCATTGAATTGGATTTTACTTCTCATTCTGATGAACCCTGTAAATATATATGATAGACACTTTTTTGAAACTTACATCTGCCTTATGAAGGTACCTGCCTATGGCAGCCGATGAAGTATACATTCCCAGTCTTCAACACTTGTACACATCAGTGGTCTTGTTTCTAATACATATCCTCAATCAGATTTAGTGTGATAATATTGTTTTCCCTCCAGTGGAAGACTGCAGTAGTTCTAACATTTTAGAAATGAGGTACACTGTGTTCGTAAACTGAACTTGCTCAGTTTTTTCTGGGGCCACTAGATACTTTCCATTTTCTGCCTTAGTCTTATCTAAACTAGACTATGAACATAGGACTAGATGAGATTCATCATTCATGTGCTTTGGCAAGGGAGACCTCTTAATTGTCACTAGTTGAAGATCTATATATATAGTTAAATATGCTCTATTCTTTCATTATGAGATCATTGAGATACCCAATGTCTTCATGATCCAATAGAATTTTCACAGCCATTAGTAAATTTAAGCTTCATTTTTTGCTTTTCTTTATTATAATTACTGAATCATTACCTAGAGACTTGTGGACTTCATAGGTCTAACTTGGTTTTCTGATCTTCTTTTACTGTCTTCCTTTTCTCCCTTCCACTCTCATAGTCTCATTCTATGCATTTTACTAGTGCTCGCTTTTCCTTGATAATTTCCAATCTTTCTTTCTTTCAACACACCGGCCGTATCCCACCAAGGCAGGGTGGCCCAAAAGGAAAAACTAAAGTTTCTCCTTTTACATTTAGTAATATATACAGGAGAAGAGGTTACTAGCCCCTTGCTCCCGGCATTTTAGTTGCCTCTTACAACACACATGGCTTACGGAGGAAGAATTCTATTCCACTTCCCCATGGAGATAAGAGGAAATAAACAAGAATAAGAACTAGAAAGAAAATAGAAGAAAACCCAGAGGGATGTGTGTATATATATATGCTTGTACATGTATGTGTAGTGTGACCTAAGTGTAAGTAGAAGTAGCAAGACGCACCTGAAACCTTGCAGATTTATGAGACAGAAAAATGGACACCAGCAATCCTACCATCATGTAAAACAATTACAGGCTTTCATTTTACATTCACTTGGCAGGACGGTAGTACCTCCCTGGGCGGTTGCTGTCTGCCAATCATAATTTCCAATCACTCTCGAGATAATACTGCTGTGTACATCAGTGGTTCCAGATCCTCTGATGCAGTGGAATATGCAGCCACATTTCCTGGTCACATGGTCTATGGCTGATGCTTGCAGCTGGCCAGTATCTTCACAGCAGGGTTGTACATTCTCCTTGCTGTTATCCACAGTGCTACTTTGCCAGCCTCGTCATTTGTTATAGTTTTAGACTCATAGTGCAGTGTAAGCAATACACACTATTTATTCCTTGCATCTTTTTGTTGTTTGTATTGAACATTAGTAGTGCCATATTGTTTAGTATGGTTAATTTTATTTTTGCCTGAAGTACACCTGTTATTAGAAGTTAATTAACACTTTCTTGAGGCAGGTCTCAGTGTGGCTTCAACACCAGGATTTTTAACTAGAAACAACAAAAAGGCACAGTACCATGATTGGAACAATACATATATAACTCGCACGTAGGAGAGTTTTTTTTTTTTTTTTTTTTTTTTTTTAACTTTTTTTAACTCGCACATAGGAGAGTTTTTTAACTTTTTTTTTTGTTTTGTTTTAAAAATGGGATAGTATAGCAGAAGGCTCTATTTCCCACCCTTCACTCCCTCCAGACACTGACATTCCAGTATCTTTTTGATAGGTTGTGCAATTTATCAAAAAGCATGCAGACCTCATTTGCTATCTGTTCATCATTGTCTTTATGTTCATACTCAATGAATTTTTAACTGAAATTGATTTACTACACTAAATATGACTTCTTCCTTTTGACCTTACGGTCACCCACACACCTTTGGCCCTTTTAATGTCTGCCATCCCTTTGCTATCTGGTGTTGATTGACCTACATGGGTTTAATAATTTCCTGAATTGAATAATAATGGAAGCTAGGACTGGTGTGAACTGAGATTACCCAATAAATTTGTTGTTATTGGTTCAAGATAATATCTGGGGGAACAGAATCAAAGGGCTGGTTCATTCTGCCAGGGCTGTGAGGTAATTACTTTTGTCGTTTTGAGGAAAGAGGTTCCAGGGTACATTTTCACTCCGCCAGCTACTGTCAAAAGCATGACATTATGATCAGCCTTGTCTGCAAGAAATTTAATAAATTACTTGAACTACCCTCTTATGCTGAAGGGTATGTGAATCCACCTCCCTGCCATGTCATGGCATTCCCTCAGTAAGGAAGCTGGAGAATGCTGCTTTCTGTGCTCTAGACTCTGGCTTTAACATTTCAGTCATGGAATTCGTAATCATAGGTGTGTCTGTAGAGACCTTCGGGACAGGGGAATTTGATGCTTTTTTTAGCAGCTAAGTTTTTAACCCTGTATGATAGTAATTAAAATAGAGTATCATATGGTTTGAGTATTTATAGTTTGAATGTGTTTTAGTTAGTATGCAAATGGTATGTTGTTTGCCTGTGATTCTTGATTAAGGGTGAAATATATTACTGACAAAGAACAAGATGATGTTAAGACAGTGTTTTGCTCTCTACAGAGCTTTATCAGGTCATGATAAAGCTATACACAGAGCAAAACAATGTCTTAATAAAACTTGTTTTGCACTTGTATGTTTGTCTTTGTACAGATTTTATTGTAGAGAGCATTGAAAAATTATTTATAATGCAAATGCTGTATGACCCTGGTGGGTTTAGCACTTAGTGTTGACTATAATAATATTAATATAATGCAAAAATATTTACATTAATTTTGCTACAAGTGTTTTCTTCACTGTGCATCCCATACTTGTCCTATGGACAGTTTTATTATTAATACTCCGTTGTATTAATGTTATATTGGGGGAGGGGGTGCTTTACCTATAGGGTCATACAATGTAATCCCTCTTGTGGTGTATGACCCCTCTGGCTTTAGCCCTTCCCTCTGAATGTATTAGTGATACCATCCACAGGATAGGCATGGGGTAAGCAGTAGAAGAGCAGATTTGGTGGCAAAAATAATGTACTGTAGGGTCCCGCTTGTATAGCTGGTTCGGTTCTGGGATACCGCTGTAAAGCAAAAATCACTGTAAAGTGAATCATAGCCTTGTTTTTTTCACTTTCAAATACATATAAAAGCCTGATAACATGTTTATGCTATCGTATATTAAGTGAGCAATAGAGCTAGGCCTTAAAAATGCATATACAGTACACACATTACTTATCTTAAAATATTTACATACCTAGCTTATAGTGAGTGGTTAATATATTTATTGCAGGAAATCTGAATCAATGAAGAATAGATAAAATTAAAAACCTGTGCATTAGCAAAATGCCTTAAGGCAAAGTGCTGTAAAGCAGGGCCCTTCTGTACTGTAAATAATTTTTTGCATAATAAATAATTTCACCTGTATCAGCACTGAAGGAAACATGATTTTAGCCTTGTCTTGTAAATATAATTTTCAACTGACATTGGTAAACCCTTGATTTAGTGGACTATTAGGGAAAAGTGGGTGTCCAGTAATGCCAATTGTGGGATAGGTATGAAATTGTTTTGCCATTATCGTAACAATAACGGACACTTCTGTAATCAATGGATTTGTCTGTTGTCTCCCAATCAATTAACACAGAAGAGCTTGTCCCATATTTCCAAGTCAATTAAATCGAAGGTTTATTATGTTTGTGAAAGAAAAACTGAAACATTGCATATTTTTGTTTGGAATTCAGTGGACTATTTCCATTGGTGATTATAATGACTGATTATATTGCAAAGCACTTCAGGCATGGCTTGTCATTATTTAAAATTCATGTGCAGCAATTTCATAAGATCTGTATTTATTAATTAAAGAAGGCGTCAGTTACTAAATTTAGCCCCAGAAAAAAAAATTGTGTATTTATAGGTCTGAATTAAAATACTTTCTCTGTAACTTTCTGTCCCTCAGGAGAGGTGCCTTCATGTTAGTGTGGAGCTCTTGATCCAAGTAGCTGGACTTATCCTCCTCTTCCTTGGATCGAACCTAAATGCCTCCCATTCATCAGGCATTATATGACTCCTGTGGGTTAAGCGCTTCCCTTCTAATTAGAATAAAAAATGTAGCTTTCAACTTGACTCTATCAATTTTGGAATCAGCTGGTGAGCTTATATATTATCGGTTTCCCAAGGACGCCATGTTTGTTTTGAAGATAAATTATGTAAAATGCAAGGTATATGTCGGGGTTTTTAGCCAGAGTAATCAAACAAGCTGAATTTTCTTCAAAATAAAGAAAGAGGCACAATACCATGACTGGAACACTACACAAATAACCTGGACATATAGGAAAGAGAAGCTCACCATGACGTTTCCATCAAACTTGGACCATTTACAAAGTCACGCTAGTGTGACTGTAAATGGTCCAAGTCAGATCAAAACATCATCGTAACTGCTTCTCTCCAATGTATACCTGGATAGGGTTTCGGAGGACAACAACCCCCCGCAGCCCGGTCTGAGACCAGGCCTCGTGTAGTGTTTTCTTCAAAATAATTTGTCTATAATTTTCCTTTTGGCTTGATGGATACATTCATGTGAACTAACATGGTGTGTGAATTTTATATTATTCGCCAAAAGTAACTTAGCAACCTAGACTAAACTTGATGTATATTGTACTGTAAAGCTTAATCCTTCATAGGCCTTTTTAAGATACCCAAACTTTAGTTGCCATCATTTAACATCAGTGATATGCATTATAATAATTTTGTGATGTGCTGACACGTTATTGCAGTTATAGTGAAAATATAGGTTGTGCTCTTCTATTCCAGTTATTGTACGATAAACAAAGTTGGCAAGTTCTGACTATAAGGCATGGCATATATAACTCAAGTTTGTACAAAGTGTTGAAAATGAATGAATCAGTTTGTAGCAAGTATGAGTTTTCTTGTCCTGTGTGGTGATGAATCCTGAAGGTAGGACATAAAAATGTCTGTGAAGACTGTTTGTATCTTAACGTAACTGAAGTGAAGAAGAAGAATAAAATACAGCCTCTCCTCACTTAATGACAGAATTCCTTTCCTAAGACCACATCAGTAAATGAATTCATCGCTAAGTGAGGAGCATACTATAGTGATAGTGAGTTTGTGTCAAGTATCTTTGACATTGTTTTAATGTCACCTTTGCACCGCTTATAACATTTCTGGCAAATTTTTAAGTGTTTATACAGTAGTGTATTGTATAGTGTAATAAACAGTATAGAGGAAATCAGCTCTAATATAGCACATTATTTAGGTATGCATACTGGTCAGAGAGCCCATTGTAAGTCTGAGGCATCAGTAAACGAGTCTGTCGTTAAGTGAAGAGAGGCTAGATTGCAAAATGTCCTCTTTGTTGAAATGAGGGGCTCTTGATCCAAATGGGAGCTACTACCCTCTGGCTCAAATGTGATTATCTCTCATTTCACCAGTGCACTCTGACTCCTGTGGGTTCACTTCTCCCCTGAAAAATATAGAAACATTCAAAAAACATTGTAAATGTAGAAACAGGCAAGATATGTATATATTACTGCCACCCTTATAGGTTTAGTGCTTCTCTTTTATTATAATAATATTATATATTACTGCTGAGTGCAATAATCCTTTCGGATTCAGGCACTTATCTTGATTACATTATTATTGATCTCTGTGAACATCAGAATGGTATACAATACCGACAGGTTGGTCGGTAAGACACATAGGCAACAGTTGCCTAACTGTTGCCTATGTGTCTTACCTACCATTATTGACCTCTTGTGGAATTGGTGGTTAGTTTTGATTATAATAGCAGTGCTGTATGATCCCAATGTTTTAGTATTTAGTTTTGATTATCAATTAGATTATAATAATTTGATAATACGTATTATTACTGTCCAGTTTATTTTCACATTACACAGCGCTGTATGGCCCTTAAAGGTTTAGTGCTTTGTTATGATTGTAATAATAATTGTCACATTACAACAATGTATTCTTGATCCAAGAAATTGGACTCATCCCCCATGCCTTAGAGTGGACTGGATTGCCTCACATTCCCCCTCTACCCCCAGGTGCTGCACAACCCCTACAGGTTTAGCATTCCCCTCCCCTGATATAACTAGATGTGTTTTGGTCACCATGCAATCCAAGAAAGGTGTTTCCATGTTTCACAAGGCCAGCCCCCTATACCTCAGTACAGTGGACCCCCGCATAACGCTATTAATCCGTTCCTGAGAGCTCAATGTTATGCGAAATTATCGTTATGCGAATTAATTTTCCCCATAAGAAATAACGGAAATCAAATTAATCCGTGCAAGACACCCAAAAGTATGAAAAAAAAAAATTACCACATGAAATATTAATTTTAATACACACAAACTTAAGAAAACATGCACAGTTACATGACACTTACCTTTATTGAAGATCTGGTGATGATTGATGGGATGGGAGGAGGGGAGACTTGATGGTTTTAGTGTTTAGAAGGGGAATCCCCTTCCATTAGGACTTGAGGTGTCAAGTCCTTTTCCAGGGTTGCTTCCCTTCTTTTAATGCCACTAGGACCAGCTTCAGAGTCACTGGACTTTTGTCGCACAACATATCTGTCCATAGTGGCCTGTACCTCTCGTTCCTTTATGACTTTCCTAAAGTGTTTCACAACAGTGTCAGTGTAATAGTCACCAGCACGGCTTGCAATAGCTGTCTGAGGGTGATTTTCATCCATGAAGGTTTGCACTTCAAGCCACTTTGCACAGATTTCCTTAATCTTTGAAGTAGGCAACTTCTTCAATTTCTCTCTCCGAACTGGCAGCCTCACCATGCCTTATCACACTATGTATGCCACTACGCCTCTTAAATCTCTCAAACCAACCTTTGCTGGCCTTAAATTCACTCACATCACCACTAGTTGCAGGCATTTTTCTAATTAAATCCTCGTGCAACTTCCTAGCCTTTTCACTTATGATCGCTTGAGAGATGCTATCGCCTGCTATCTGTTTTTCGTTTATCCACACCAATAACAGTCTCTCAACATCTTCTATCACTTGCAATCTCTGTTTCGAAAGCACAGTTAAACCTTTGGCAAGAACAGTTTCCTTGATTGCCGTTCTCTTGGACACAATAGAAGCGATACACAAATAACCCGCACATAAAAGAGAGAAGCTTACGACGACGTTTCGGTCCGACTTGGACCATTGACCATTGACTTTGTCAATGGTCCAAGTCGGACTGAAACATCGTCGTAAGCTTCTCTCTTTTATGTGCGGGTTATTTGTGTATCATTCCAGTCACGGTATTGTGCCTTTTTTGTTATTTAATAGAAGCGATGATTGATTGGGGTTTACTATACAACCTGGCCAGCTCGGAGACACACACTCCACTTTCATACTTAGCAATGATCTCTTTCTTCATCTCCATAGTAATTCTCACCCTTATTCCTGTAGGGTTGGCACTAGAAGCTTTCTTGGGGCCCATGGTCACTTATTTTTCAGGTGAAATCACTATAAAAAGGCTGTAATGATACAAAATGTTCCGATTGTATGCTTGAATGTTACCGCGGAGGCTGGCTTGTAAACACTGCCACTGGCAGAATAAGTGAGGCTGGCTCAGGCCACATGGACGTGTCTCGGATGAATCACGTTGAGCGAATTTTTTTAACACTATGCGAGGCAAAATTTTAGCGATAAAATGTATCTCTATGCGGATTTAACACTATGCGATGCCAACGTTATGCGGGGGTCCACTGTACATGCAAAAGAACTAAATAATAATAAAAGCATTACCAAGGCGACGCACTCCCGTCACTCAAGAACCCACATTTCATTGGTGGAAACACCGTATACATGCAGCAAAACAACCAATCGCAGTGAAGACAAAGTCTAGCAGTACTGTGAATACCTGAAGCGCTACTGGTTGTCTGCAGAAGCAGCCCGTGGAAGTGTGTTATGCCCAGCAAACATTATTATTGTCACAGTTTTTTTGCAGAAGAGAATCACTGAATGTTTGTGGACACCCTCCAAGGACAACCATCAACTAATCAATTATTTAATCTAATTAAAAGAAGCAATAATAGAAAGAGTATAACCCAGTGGAAACAAGTCAAGGACCCCAAAGAAATTAAGTCTTACTACTTTTTGGGGGTTATCCTCATGGGTAGTTTATACACATCGAGTCATAGCTCCTGGCCCCACTTCATCACTGGTTGCCACTAGATCCTCTCCCTGCGTCCATGAGCTGTATCATGCCTCTTCTTAAAACTATGTATGGATCCTGCCTCCACTACCTCACTCTCCTAAATAAACTTATTTATTCTCTAATGATGATTTCAATACATAAAGTGATAATAAAGGCTGACTTATGTAGTATGTGTCTATCTGTACCTCTCTGTCTAGGCCTGGCATGCAAGCCTAGACAAAATTATTTTTGACAAAACTGTAAATTACAAAAAGTCAGAGTGAAAGTTTACAGGTAAACTAACAAATATTTCTTTTTCTAAATTTGATTATATTACATGAAAATTATTGGAAAATAAACCTCGATGACCCATCTGGGTTTACCGCATTTATATATATATAAGTAAATATTTCATGATTTAACAAGTCTTATAATGATGGTCATGTGCTGGAAAAAGTGGGAGATGTGCCAAACAGTAAGTCATAAGCCAGGGTTACTGTGCTGACCAACCCTCGTGACGTCATAGTGGGCGGAGCCTTAAAATTAAAAGCTGGATAGTTATGAGGCCCCACCCCTGTGACGTCATGTAAGAACTCTCATGTCATTGGTAGAAACTCTTCCAAGCCCCACCCCATCAGTGACGTCATGTAGAAGCTGTCATTTCATTGGTAGAAACTCATGCAAGCCCCGCCCACTGGTTCAGCCTCGGTCCCTTATGAGTTGCTGTTCAACTCTAAGATATTAATTCTCTCACTAGATGGCTTGATTTAGGGAATTGGATCTGTGCTCCAGTTCCCCGAATTAAGCCTGAATGCCTTCCACATCCCCCCCCCCTGGCGCTGTATAATCCTCCAGGTTTAGCGCTTCCCCTTGATTATAATTCTCTCACTAGATGGCATTAGTTACTGAAAACAATGCAAAAATGTACTTAAACTTTATGAATATAATAATATGTACACACTAACTTCATCATGTAAACAAACAGTTGCAGCAGCATATATAAATATATATAATTACTTTTATTATTATTATTATTATTATTTATTATTATTATTATTATTATTATTATGATAAGGTTCTTGTTGTAGGTTGAAGTAAATTTCTTATGACTTAACAAATTTTATTCTATAACGATGTAGAAATGTGGTCATGTGAGGGAAAAGTGGGAGATGTGCGAAACAGCAAGTCATAAGCCAGGGTTACTGTGCTGACCAACCCTTGTGACGTCATAGTGGGCGGAGCCTTAAAATTAGAAACTGGGTAGTTATGAGGCCCCGCCCCCTGTGACGTCATGCAAAAACTCTCTTGTCATTGGTAGAAACTCTTTCAAACCCCACCCCTCCAGTGACGTCATGTAGAAGCTGTCATTTCATTGGTAGAAACTCTTTCAAGCCCTGTCTTTCTAGTGACGTCATGCAGTAGCTCTCATTTCATTGGTAGAAACTCATGCAAGCTCCACCCACTGGTCCAGCTTCAGTGTGTTGTGAGTTGCTGTTCATGTCTTAGTTATTAATCCTCACACTAGATGGCGTTAATTACTGAAACAAATGAAAAAATTGACTTAAACGTCATGCATATAAGTACACACTATTGATTACCTATTGTTTCAACTACATTAAGAATGGTACTGATTGTCTTGCGCCCTGTTAAATGAATCATTGTCAAAGACATAACTTATAGTTGTATGTTTATGTGAGTTATTCTGTATATTAAACCAGGACATAACAGTGTAACACGAGTCACTGCATCAAAT